GAAATAATTATACGAACTTTAGAAAAGTATCATGATACAGAAAAGTGTGAAATTTTCCTCAATGAAGTTTTTATATGGAGAGAAACATCTGAACATTTTGTTTTACATGAAAAGAATTATGACAATATTGATGGGGCTTTAAAATGGGCAAAGGAAACTTTACTTGAATATGCTTTAGATAAAAGACCTAAAGCATATACTAAAGAACAACTTAGAAATGGAGAAACACAAGATGAATTATGGAATGCAGCTCAACATCAAATGGTAAGAGAGGGTAAAATGCATGGTTATTGTAGAATGTATTGGGCTAAAACATTATTAAGGTGGTTTGAACCAAAAGAAGCTTTAAAAATAGCAATAGAATTTAATGATGAGTATCAAATGGATGGAAATGATCCTAATGGATATACAGGAATTATGTGGAGTATTTGTGGTTCAATGGATAGAGCTTTTAAAGAAAAAGAATTCTTTGGGAAAATAAGATCAATGAAATCATTTAAATGTCCAAAATATCTAAAGAAATATTCTAAATAAAAAATTTTATAAAAATTTTAATTTTCAATAAAAAATGTTATTAATCCCAGTAAACCGTAAATTAAATGATCCATTTTACAGATATAAAATGCCAAGTGTAGAAGTAACTGTAGAATCAAATAAAACAGTAATAAAAAATATTTTAAACATATCTAAATCTATTTATAGATCACCTAATTTAATCTTAAAATACTTATCATATAAGTTGGGATGTAAAGATTTACAAGCAAATCAAAAGTATTTTTTACAGGGGCATTTTACTAATAAACAGATACAAAGTTACATTTATGATTTTATTGATGAGTATGTTTTATGTAAGAAATGTAACAACCCAGAAACAGAATTTGTAATTGATGGAGAAAAAATTAGCAGGAGATGTTTAAGTTGTGGTGGTTTTTTAACCCAATCAGAAAGTAAGTTTAACAAAACTATTTTAAAAACTAATGAAGGAGAATTTAATGATAAAAACTATAAGAAATTAAGCTTGGTTGGACTGATAAATGAACATCAAGATAATCAAAAAGTTTTATTAGAGTTTTTTAAGAATAACAAATTAAGTATTGATGATGTTTTTAATGAGCTAATTAAAAGTAAAGATTTAATTTATTTTAAGGGAATATTTGATCAAATTAGTGATAAAAATAGAATATTAGAAGAAGTTGAGAAAATGATTGAAAAATTTGATAAATGTCAATTTACAAGAAAATATCTAAAAGTATTAGTTGAAATATTTAATGAAGAATTTGTAAGAAATTATTTTGAATCCAAATCAAATAAAAAAAGACATCCTCTTATAAAAAAAGAGGTTAAATTATTTTTTAATTAAATTTTTTAATAAAACATTAACTTTAATAAAAAGAAATGGCACATATAAACATTTACATTCATAAAATCATAGAATTTATTAAGAAATCAGATAAAGAGTTTAGTTTTAAAGAAATTGAATTAAATTGTGGAGTAAAAGTATCAGCTGTTTATTACGCATTGAAGAACAATCCCAAAGTTCATCTTGAGAATGAAAAAATATCTTATTGTCCTGAATTTGGAATAAAAACAAGAGAAGAATTAAAGAAAGTTTTGATTGAGAAAGGAGAAGGAATTTCTTTGGAAAGATTAGATGATGGGCCATTTAATGTGAGTTCATTGTTATTTACACCAGAAGAAATGAAAGAAAGAAGTAAAAAAATTGATAGAACAGTAAGAAAAAGAATTAAAAGTGATGACAAACCTAAAACAAAAATTGATGAAGATTTTATAATTTTGAGAGATTTAGATGGAAGTGAAATGGTATTTTATTACGATAATAAATATAAATTACCAGTAAATGAAGAAACAAAGCAAATATGGGCATCAATAGAAATACCAGAATATTATGATGTATTAGAAGAACTAAGTAAAAAAGGATTGAAAACAGAAAAAATAGAAACAACAAAAAAACAAAAACCAAAAATAAAGAAGAAAAAGAACAGAAGGAAGATAAATCTAACAAATACGCATGTTCAAGAGTTAGAAAAAATAGATTTTAATGAAGAATCTGATTAAATTTTATTTGTTTATTTTATGAAACAAATTTGAAATAAAAATAATTTTGTTTGTCCCAAATAATGAAATCAAGCATTTTAAAAGAAAATTCCAATGGTAAATTTAATAAGTATAATGAAAGTACTCATAAGACATCTAAAAACAAAGGCAAGGGTAGTGGAGGTCCTAATGGATCAGGGGATGAACCAAATGATTTTTTTGTATTTGATGATTTTCTTACAAATAGAGAGAAGAGAAGCATGTCTTTGATAGAAGAATTTATTATTACTGAACAGTTATGTGTTGAGGTTCAAGAAGCTGCAGTGAATGTTGTTGATGTAGTTGGTAAGATTTTAGCAATTAAAGAGCGAACACCAGTCAAACTAGATTTTAAGAAGAGGAAGACATTCAAAAAATTCGTATTTAATGAAAAGGTGTTAGTGAGAGATTATAATAAAGCTACTATGGCATTCAACAAGGTTTCACGTAACACAGTTCAAAAATTTGTTGATGAATTACTGAGTCTTAATATACAGACAGTGGAAGAAATGAAGAAACTGGCAAAATTCTTTTTTGACAAGGCAGTAAGAGAG